CCCCCAACTTCCAATTTGGCACAGCTCCAACTACTGCCCACCCAGGCAGCCTCCCAAATCATGATGTGCCCCCATCAATGACACGCATCAACACTAGTATGCTTTGGAACTCCAGAAGTAGGTATTGTAGTTTTCATTTCCAGAAGTCTGTGGAGTTAGTGTTTGCCGAGGGCTGATAACACCCAGCTTATGACTTACAGCACATTGGAGAGAAGTATGATGTTGGCATCAAAGAAAATGTGAGGGGTAAAAATGGGGAAATGTGGCTGAATCACAAAAACATGTGGGGCAAAAGAAGCCAGAAATAACAGGTTACCTATTGGATAGTTTTATTTATATAAAGCTATGTATGGAATGTGCAAATGTGATAAAAATTGTATCTGTGGCTGGGATGGGAATGGGGTGGGAATGAGGGGTGGGAATGAGGGTTGGCTGGGATGGAGCACAAAGGAACTTTTTGAGGTGATAGGAATCTTCTGTGTCTTGATAGAGAAATGAGTGAAATCATTTTAAAAACTCATTGAATTGTATAGGTAAGATCTATGCTTTTTACCTTAATTTTAGAAAAGTAACAACATGTTGTAGACAATAAACAAAATAGCCTAGTGGGGAAAGGAAACAGTGTGTATTTGTAGCAGCGGGCAGGCAGGAAAAGGTGCCAACATTTGCTCTGAAGGTTCTGCTAGCATCATGCATCTGATTGTCTGAGAATATTTGGGTACTTGTAGTGTTTCATAGCTGAGATACCTTAATTAAAAATCTGATTTTATCAATGATAAGGTATGAGATTTTTTTAAAGATTTATTTATTTATGCTTACAGAACTGGGGTACAGGCCAGAGGTGTGGTAGGTGAGAGGATTCACCAGAGACAGAGTGGGGAGCAGAACAGGCAGATCTACTGAAATACACTGCTGAGGGGAGCAGTGACCAGGTCAGGAGAGGTCTGCTGCACTATATGGGTCCTGGCCGGGAATCGAACTCATGCTACGGTGGCTTCAGAGAGCTTCATAATGCAGTGCTTTAACCCGTTGCACCAACAGGGAGAGCCTATGTATGAGCTTTTTATGTGGAATTTTCCAGTGCTTCTAAAAATCTTGTATTCTACTATATTACTCCAGTATCTGAAATAAATCATCACTGTTTGTTTTAAACTTGCTGGGTGGGAGAGTTTATACCACAGCTTTGCAAAAACTAATACAAAGATCCCAGACTGGAAGCCCCAAAGGCATGGTAGGTCTGTGAGTGTGTTTAAGTGTGTTTTTTGTTTTGTAGAGAGGGGTGTGGGCAATTTCTTTTTCTTAATGAGTTGCAAATGCTTGAAATTTGGGAGATTCTGAATATCTGGCAATATGGGCTTGTATTACAGAACAGTAATAATTGCCTGGATCTGTGGGATCGTTTCCCATTAGGTGGGGAAAGCACATTTCCTGCTTCAGTTACTGTTTTATTGTCTGTTTTCAGTTTTGTGAACAACTGAGTTTGCAGCCTGTGAGTTAACATGGAGCACTTCTTCTGTACTAGAGCAACTAAGGACGAAGGGCAGCTCCTCCCACTAATCCATTTACAGATGAGGTTACTGAGGTTTCGATAAGGGAAGAACTCACCTGAGGTTGCCCAGCAGTGGGTAACAAAGTCAGGATTTGGAAGGGTTTACTCTTCTTTGCATATCTTTAACTGGTTTCATCCTTTGTTTAGTACTTGTCTCTGGTTAGTTGAGTTTTTAGTTTCCTCCCTTTTCTGATTTATTTTGATAGAATAATCTCTGGTTTCCAAACTCTCTGGGTTTTGCATGTCCTTTGCTTTAAAAAAAAAGTGAAAGTAATTACATATTTATGCATATTATTTAATGACAAATAACATACCTGTACTAAATTAATATTATGTACTTTCTAGAGCATATGCGATTTTTTAATGTTAAAGATTATATGAATAGATAGTCTATAATTTTATAAATTTATATATATATATATATGCCATAATTTTCCTTCTTTACTGCAATAGATTATCTGTTAACATTGCATACTGGCTTTGGAAACGAGTGGGTAAAATGATGCCAGGAAGATAATTCTGCTTGAAACTATCTTTCATATGAAAGTCAGTCAATTTGTGTCTTAGAAATTGTCCCTTCCAGATAAAGGTGTAGTAGAAAGTCACCAGCTCAGCCCCAGACTGTGGGAAAACAAGGGAGAGTTCTCCTTTGTTAGAAAAATAGTTGTCTGTCTCTAATTAAAGAAAACAAAACTAAGCTTGTAGTGTAAAGCCAACTACTGATTACCAGAAGGGAAGGCAGAAGGGGTAGAGTGAATAGAGACGATGGTTTCATGAAGGACAGAATCAGACTCTCAGCGGTGCTCAGGGTGAGCACCTGGGCTCATGTAATGTGGAAATCCTGTGACTTCAAGAAATAAAACGTTATTCATCTCTAGTCACCTTGAGAGCAGTATGTTCCAAAATGTTGCAACCCCGAATTCCAAAGAGCCAAAGGCATCTTTCATTCATAGGCTGGCCTTCCACTGGCCCCTGGAGAGTTTAGGTTCTCTGCCGGCACCAAGCTCAGACTGTGGGTTTTCTTTCCAGGGACCTGGTATCCTCCTGGCTCTCGTTTCTCGGCTGAACTGTGACGCGTGAACCACCCTCTCCTCTCACAGGATGCAGGCACGATGAGCTCATTTGTGGTTGTGAAGTACACCACCAGTGCTGAGCGTGGCTGTTAATAGTTAACCCACATGTGGTGTTTGTGGATGTCTGTCTAGTTTCTTCGTGGATGCGTGTCTACTTCCCTCGAGGATGCGTGTCTAGTTCCCTCATGGATGCGTGTCTACTTCCCTGCGTTCTGCCAGTCTTGAAGGAATGGCTACGCAGGCTTTCTGGAGATGTGTCTTTTGGCTCAAAGACAGCACGCTGTTATTTCTCTCGTAACCCAGGGCTAGATCGGCTCAAGAGGGTCTTCTCAAAGCCTTATCTGTGTCCTCTGAGCTCCCTTCCTTCATCATGTGTGACCTGAATAAGCAGCCTCTGGATTATTCTTTTCTGCCTTGCCCTAATTCTCTTGTTTTCCTCGTAAGCTTTCTCTTTGCGGTCCAAAGCGAATATCACATTGTCCACGGTCCGAGCACCACCATTTGACTCCGTCTCATAATACTGGAGGTGGCACTGAGCACGCAGGGGGCCAGCTCTGACACCCGGGCCTGCGACTCAGAGAGGGAAAGACTTGTGAACCAATGTTAGGAAGGAAGTGAAGTGCACACACCTGTCTCTCTGAAACGTGAAATAGCCTTTTCTCTTTCTTAAACACATTATCTTTCACTAAGACAGAAAAGTCCCTGATGTCATCCAACATTTCTAAACCAACCATTAGTTTTTTATTGCTGCAACTGTCTGGGGGGGGGGGTGATATTCACAAATTGCACTAGAGGTAGGCATACACACCACCATGTCTCCCCCTAAGGTATGTGCTCTTGGGGGCCTTGTTCTTATTAATCATGAAGGCAGCTGCCCCTGGGCATGTTCTAGGTGCTTAGTACACTGTAGAGGAAGAGATTAGCTTTACACAAAGGCTGGGAGAAAGCCTAACACTGTAGCAAATCTCCACTGATCGCTCTTGTCTGCCTCCCCTACTTCTGGTGGCAAAGGGGTCCTGAGGTGAATGACAAGAAGAAGCACTAGTAAGCAAGAGCCTCGAAGAGATGACAGTGACCGTGAGGTTGGCCAGAGTGAATTGGAGCTATTATGCATGGACATAGAGGAATTATTAATACATCGAACTGTGCCTTTAGAAACACTTCCTTTGCATTCTCTCTCCTGGGAGGGCCTGTGGGGAAGCTGGCACTACCTCACACCTTCTCTGAGCCCACCAGAGGGGCAGGGAAACACTGACACTGGGCTTCTGCATCTATGCTCAGCTATTTATCCAATCAGCAGGGATGGCCTGTCTCCTAATCAGCAATCACTGGGCCTGCTTCCTGTGGCCACAGCTGGCCAGGGCCACTCAGGCGTGCACCTGTCACTTAGTGCCTCCCAGCTCAGGGGCACTGAGCTGAGCTGTGACCAGCAGGAGAAGAGTCACATCCTGCAGATGTAAGGGTGGGAATAAGAATTCTCAGACTAATTGTACAGAAAGTGCAGATTTTCATATCCTGTTAAGACAATTACTAATGACCAAACTGTGCTTTGTGCTTTGCCTTTTATTTAAGTATTGGGTACTCATAATTCACAGTGACTTCTTATGCCTAATTGTCAAATAGGTGCAGTGGGCACCTATTTGGGTAGAAGGAAATATATTGAGTGACTAAGGCACACTTTGTGCCCTCTAGAAGCGTAGTAGCCAGTAGGGGAGATAAGAGAGCCTCCCCCAAAGCATATTACAAGGCAGGCTACAGTGTGTACCTGAATTGCCACTCGGGGATAAGCTATAGGAATTCATCTAGTGCTAAAGGGAGAAACCCATTCCAGTTGGAGTGATTCTGGAAGCCATGATGGAGGAACCAACACTTAAGCTGCATTTTAAGGCACAGGTGTATTTTTAGAAGAGTCAACTGAGAGGAAGTTGAGGAATTTTAACAAAAAAAAAAAAAAGAAGTGTGAGAAGGATGGGAAGGACTAAGGGTTGGGGGACACAGGAAAGGTCAGGGCACAGGGAAGTTTCGGCAGCTGGGAGGAGACACCGTTTGGTGGGTGGTGCTGGGTGGTCTGTGACTTAGTACTCTGACTGGGGATGCAGCCTTGTCTAATGTGTGGTGGTTGAGCTAGGGGCTGCCTGTCGGGAGATGCTTGCCTGTGTGTGGCTGCTTCCTTGAAGGCCTTCCCAGCCAGGCTCTCCGGGCCCTTTGGAAATCTTGCTTGTAGACAGTATTGTCAGGGAGTAATCTGAGACATTTGCTGTCTGTTAAACTCATTATGCTTCAGTCCTCAGAGTGCTGTGGTGCTCTCCATCCTGAATGCTCAGCAGATTTTATGTAGTATCTGAATTATTAATGGAGAGGTTATGGAAGAGGGGGCTCGGCTGCTTGTTCCCTTCTGAGCAGGACTTGGGCGGGTGGCCTTACAGGAAGAGAGAAGAGAGGCAGCTGCTTGCATTGTGATGGATGAAGAAGGCCCTCCAGAGGAACTCTACCCAGAGGGGAGCCTGTGCCAGTATGCTCAGAAAATCACAGCCTGCTTCGGAGGATTGGGTAAGACCCCTTAAATATTGGGCTTTGCAGAGAAGAGGCCAGGGATGATGATGCAGATGAACCACACTTAAGACTTGCTGGTGGCCGGGGCAGGTGTGGCTGCTGGAGGTGCTGAAGAACCCCCAGTGGGCCAGGGTGTCTTTGTGTGAAAGCCTCAGTGCACTTCTTTTTCTGAGCTTCAGAAAACTGCTGTTTCCCTTACAAAGGTCATCCTGATTATTTTGAGCTACTCCAGGTGTTTTGGATGGACTTGCTGAGCTTTTTTGTCTGCTGATTTCTGATTGCAACAAAAAGCAAAAAGCAAAAAATCCCATTCTCACTGATGATGCCATAGGTTCTAACTTCAGGCCATTTCCCTAGAAAATGAAATCCCAGAAAGATTTGTATTTTGAAGATGGTGATTTTTCTCTCTTTTTAAAGCAAGAAACAGCTAGACTTTAGCAGCTGATTTAAAGAGGGAAGAGGATATTTGCCTGGGGAAAAAATAATAGCTACATCATTGCATAGGATGCAACCCAAGAAATGTCAGAGTTCATTGTGGAGATTTGCTGAGGAATTAACCTGCATCTGGTATACTGAGAGCAGTAGTTCAGGCATCCTTCCCTTGAACACTGGATAGCTGTGAAACATTTGGCCCTGAGCTTAGGGTTTATCTCATTATGAAGATTCTACCTTATGCAAAAGGCAGAGTCCTCCTGAGGTTGTGGTGAGGATGTAGTTGAAGGCTCTTGGTGAGTTGATTTCATAGTTCACCCTAGAAGAGTTTACTTAGGTGCAATGAATCTGCTGCTAATAGGATTAGGAATGTCATATCTGATAAATATGCAGGCAAGCAAAACCTGGGTGAACGTTAACGTCTGGGATTGGCATTAGCTTTGTAGTGTAGCACATTGTGATACCTTGTTATATAAACCATCACAAAATCCACTACACTTCTTTATAAATGCTGTGACTCATTGTACCTGGACCACAGCAATGGGCTGATGTTCATGTTGTAACAGAAGAATGGGTTCACAGGTGCTTCATGAGGGATCCCCCCTGCATTGTGCATTCATGACCGAAGAACAGATATACTAAAGTATACATTTAAAACTGGAGTCTTGGCCTCTGCCACTGTTTGCCCTCAACTATGTAGAGATGTTTAATTTAGGAAATCTGGTCACCTAGAGAGTGGAACTTATTCTGGTGCCCACTGTCACTGTAAGGAGCTGAGCCTTAACTCTCTTCACCATCATAGAATGGAGCTGGCACCACACATTATAGATAGGCAGATGGTCTCTAAAAGCAAACACACCTCTGTGATTCTCTTCAGTTTTCTATTCATGGTCCACATTTATTTTCATTTCCACCCTGACCTAAAATTCATGAAATACACCAAATTCTTACATATAGTTCTTGTATCGAAATTTGATTTTTTTTTCTTTTACAATATTTTGAAACACAGTTGGTTCTTGGACTAAATGTATGGCTCTGTCAGCATGTCAAAAAAGCTAGGGTTGACCTGAATATGTTCTGCTGATGTAACAGCTAAGCCCAGAGGTAAAGTTGGCACCCTCAGATTCAGCTTAGTGGGAATGTTGGTTAAGTTTAGGGACCAAGAAAGCAGAAAATGCTGATTTGAAAGGACCAGTTGTCTTATTTTTCTGATGTCTATGTTGTATGTTGTTGGTGTACAAAACATGTACATCCTGCTTCTCTCTTTAAAGTATTTGTTTCACAAGCAGGTTGTGTAGACACATGGAAACAGAGTTATTTAAAAGTTCTCAGTTTGCAAAGAGCAGGGCTTTGGGGAACTTTCTACAGGGAGAAGGGTGAATAGTCTATGTATGATAGAAGTTCCCACTTTACAATGTTTTTTAGAAAAACACATTTAGAAGAACCTGTTAGGTCTGAGGTGGGCTCCAGGCATCTGTGCTTTTAACAAACTGATCCAGGAACCACATTTGGGGAAACATTGATCAAATAGCTTAGTTGTGTATCCTGTGGTTCTTTGCAATAGATAAACAGAACACAAAGGGAGTGTGTTACCTGCATTGTAAACTGTTTTTAGAAGAAAATGTTGGAAGAAAGTTTTCTGAGGGCAATGTTGGTAGAGAACTTCATTCCCAGACTTGAGGGCAGAAGTTTCACCCTGTGGCTGCCATTGCCGACAGGGCCTATCTTCCTTTCTCCCCAGCTCCACCCCATTCTGGGGGCCTCTGGGACAGCCTGTCTCCTCCATTCCCACTGCTCCTCATTGGGCTAGAATCCTCCTAGCAAATTTCAGTTTTTTGGTTCCTGCAGGTATTGCCAAATCCTGCATAAAAATTAGGAGTGACTAACAAGAGAAGCAAGGATTTACCTTCTCTGCTTCATCTGTTTGTGGCACTTGTGGAGGACAGGATGGTTGTGGTTGGCACTGTGACAGCTCACGAGTCAGGAGACTGGTTCCACCCCAGACTCTGTGTTGCCCTGGGAAAGCCACTCAGCACTCTGAGGAATTTGCTGTTTTTATGTGAAAGTTAAAGGGCTGGAGTAGACTCAGGCTTTCTGAATATGTATCCTGCTCTGGGGAACTTAGAAATTTTAAGTCCCAGGGCCCCAAAGAACCTCATCTGGATTTTGTCTTTTCTGAGAGCACACTGTGATGTTCAGAACTAGCCTGGACTCTTTTTGAAGGTCTTTCCAACTTTGTAACTCTGTTGTGTTCAAAATGTGAAAGGGTTTTAATGAAAAGAAAATTGTGTGAGAACAATGACAGGAGTGTGGATTTGTTCTCTCTGACTCGTGACTGTTGTGTGGTTAGAGACTGTCCCATGTATAACCTCGATGATGGATGCCAGAGGATCACTGCTCATTGCCAGGGCTGTCCTGTGCCTGTCAGCATCCTGAGGCATGAGGGTCCTGCCAGCTTGTCACTGTGTGAAAACACCCAGCCACCTATGGGGTAATTCTGTTTCCATGATGTGATTCTGCTAGAGATTCTGTAACCGCAGAAAGCCTATGAAACTTTAAGACTATTATTAGCATATGATTAATAGAATTGAGGTGGGAAGATTTTTATAGCACTAGGTGGAAGGGATGCCCTCTAGAAAAAGAAAGGACCTGGAGCTGAATTTGTTGCTACTTGAAGCTGAAGAACTTTAATTGAGATCTGTGAAATCTGAAATACTGGAGAACTTGTAATTATCCCGAGGCTTTGTTTTCTCCCAATCTGCATGTTTAGATTGTATACATATATCATATATATGTATATACATAATCATGTAGTAGTGCAGTAAATATTATAAAATCTGTAATATAGATTATATGAAATAGGCCCTCCCTGGTGGCACAGTGGGTTAAAGCACAGCACTATGAAGCTATCTGCAGCCACTGCCGCATGAGTTCAATCCCCGGCCAGGAAGCCAACCCACATGGCACAGTAGACCTCTCCTGACACAGATCTCTGTGTATTTCAGTAGAGTTGCCTGTTCTGCTTCCCCCTCTGTCTCTGGTGAATCCTCTCACTCCCTGCACTTCTGGTCTGTACCCCAGTTCTTGTATGCATAAATAAATCTTTTTTTAAAGGTTATATGTAACTTGTATGTATACATACATACACACACACACACGTAAAACAGTTGCTAGATGTTGTTGAATAAACTAGGGATATTTGCAGGTGAATTCTGTTAGCTATTGCAACTCTGCCCTGATGTTTGCATATGCACTCGTGACTTAGACAGACATAGCCATGTGTTCCTGGTCATAGCTGTTGTTATAACTGATCATTAGAGTATAAAAAGCCCTAAGCTCTTGCAGGTAATCACTTAAGCACATCTTCTCTAATCTTCTTTGTTGAGCTGTGAGAATAAACAAATAAGGGGTCAGGAGACTTGTAGGAAAACACAGCTTCTCAGTCTCCTAGTGTCCAGCTCTCATATCTTTGTAATCCACACCAAGATGCCTTCCATCCTTGGTTTAAAGTGTCTGGGGAATTTATGCTGCTCTAGGAAAAACAAAATGCCCTCATCCGAGAGAGCCAGCCCCCGGGGCTCATTCCGAAAAACGCTGGTTATCGAGGATGTGAGTTTCCCCCACCCAAGTCACAGAGGGGCCACCTTCACCCATTTGTTCCTCTATCCTGAGATTTACTGCATGTTGGAGAACTTGCTTCACAACTTTGATTCTCTCGGTGAGTGCAAGAGCCCAACTTGGACGTGTCTTTGTGTTTTGCAGATTGGTATAAGTAACTAAGTACTGTTTGGGACTATTCCTCCTAATGTATTCTTCAAAGGAAATACTATCCTTAATGTATAATTAATGGGGTGAGGGTGGGAAGAAGAGAGAGTGTAACTTAAGTGCGCTCCATGCAACATGATGGCGCCGAATTCCGAGGCTGTTGTCCATGATTTAATATGTCAGTAACCAAAGCATCTTTTATCCTATGTGGTCCCAATATTGTCTATCATAGGAAGCAGTGATAAATACTGTTTTCATACAATAAAGGGTGAACAGAAAGAAATATTCAAGTCAGGAGGTAGACTCGTAAGAAATGGCTGAGTAAAATGGAAGGAGGTCTGAACTGTGTCACTGCCTGTCAAGGGCTCCTCTTGTGTTCTTTTCTTTAAAAGAAAATTAGAAAGGACATATAATGTTGAGAGACACTGCTGAGGTTTCTTTTCAGGAAAGCTCATTAAAACATGGCCACTCGTCCATCTGCCTGTGGAAGAAGTAGAGAAAGCCCAATCTCAGGACCAAGTTACTGCACTGGGGAGTTTGAAATTATAATGGTGACTTTATGAAGGAATGTAACACCTATCCAATTGCCCACTGCTTGTCAAAATCAGAATTCTGAGAGGCAGAGGCTCCCAGACAATCCTGACAAGCATACAAAGACGGAGTGATCTAGAAAACACAATGTATGCCTGACAATTCTTAGGCATCTAGAGAAGAGAGCAGGACTGAATCAAGGCTAGATGGACTAGAGGAATTAACCTATATTGGGGCACCTTGATTAATTTTTTTGCAATTAGTTTTTT